CGCCGGCCTCCGGCCCGGGCCTGCCTTTCTCTTTTCCGCCCCCCTGCTGCTCGGCATGCCGCGCGCGCGCGCTCCCGCCGAAACTCACCCGTGTCCGGCGCCTCCCTCTCCTCTCCCCCCCCCCCCGCCTTGGGGCAGACGCCCTGGAGCGAGCTCTCGGCCAAGGAGATCGAGCTCAAGGTCCGCGGGGGCAACCGCCTGCCCCACATCTCGGTGGACCTCTTCGGCCCGGGGCTCTCCTCGGCCGAGCAGGACGGCCTCCAGAGCGTGGTCCAGATCGTGGACGAGACTCTGCAGGCCAACTACGCCGCGCGGCCGACCTCCTTCCACCTGGAGGCGGCCTTCAATGCCCTGCGCCGCGATTGACGCGCGCGTGTGCCGCCGCTGCCTGGCGGGGCCCGGCCTCGCCCCCCCCCCCCCTCCCGGCCCCCTCCCGACGTGTTGTTGTATGTACGCGCGAGTTTGCGCCGAGCAAAATACACCCCTGCCCAGAGGGCTGCCGCCTTTTCCCCGGGACCACACCGAGCGACCGCGGGCGCGAGAGGGCCACCTGCCGGAATGCATCCGCGGGTCACGTTTTGTGTCGCCTCCAAATGGCGCGCGCGAGGGGGGTTCCTTCTCTTTTGCCGCACCCACCTCAAGCGTGGGAAGACCGGGGATGCTGGTGGTGGGGGGGGGGGCACGGGGGAGGCTCGATCGGGCGGCCGAGACCCGGGCGCCGACGCGCCGTCCAGGGGTGCCATTTTCCGTGGCACCCTTCCGGCCGGCCGCGGGCCCCAACGCCCATGGTGCCCGGCCCCGGGGCGGGGGCTGGCACGCCTGAGACCCGGCCCATGACGCAAGCGCGAGCCGGCGGGCGGGGGCAAGCGGGGAGGCCCCGGGCGGGGAGTCGCCCGGCTCCCGGGCCGGGGTGCCCGAGCTGGCCGGCTCGCCCTGCCGAGCTCCCGCGCCCCTGCTCACTGTCTCTCTGCCCCTCTCTCTCTCTCTCTCTCTCTCTCTCTCTCTCGCTCTTTGTCCTCCCTCCCGCGCCGTGTCGCCTTCTTCCTCTCCTTCTTCTCCTTGCGTCCTCGCGCCGGGCCACCTGCTCCTGGGTCGCCGCGCCTGTGCCGGCTCGGGCTCGGGCCCCGGCCGCCTGCCAGCCGTGCGACACACGGCCACCGGCCTCCTTTTCGGCGCATGCCCCCTCCCTCTCTCTCCCCCTCTGGAGCGCGCGCGCCACCGCGAGGCCGTCTGTGCGGACGATGGTGGCCACTGGCGCCGTCGCACCTGGACCACCATGCGTCTGGTGCCGGCGTCGCCTGGCTGCCCTGCCGCCTGCCGAGCACGCGTCACCCGTCGGCACGCACGGCGTCCCGGTCTGCGGGACGATCTCCCTGCCGCGCCACAGACGCATGGGCCCGGCAGCACGGCCGCGCTCGCCGAAGGGTCCGTCACCGGGTTCGCCCCCCGCGTCGGCGCCCGCCCCCGGGCTGGCGGTCGCCCGGTGGCCGTGCCTGCCCCGGGGCGTGCGGTGCCCACCCGGGGGGGGCAGGGAGGGCGACTGACACCCCCCCCCCGCCCCCAACCGGGGCCAGACCCCAGGGCCCTCGAGCGCCGGCGCCACCCTGGCGAACAGCCCGCCTCCCAGGCAAAGCACACGCCCCCGGCTATCCGGGGCCGCGGGACCGGACGCCCCTCCCGGCGGCCCGGGGGCCAGCCCTCGCCGGTCCGGGCGTGACCGGCCGACGGGGCTCGCCCCCGGGCGGCTGCCTCCCCCTACGCATGTGCGTGCCGGGCTGCCGACCAAGGAGCGGCTCCACGGGCTGGGGGCCCTCGCCGCCCCCCTGGCGCGAGGCGGCACCCGGCCGCCGGGTCGGCCTTCCCCTGCGGCGCGTCGATCCCGCGCGCGGGGCTGCATGCCAGGGCGACGGCCGAAAACCCGGGGGGGGTGGGGGGCGGCCCAAGCCGCCGGCAGGGGCACGCCTGTGGCCGCCGCCCACGCCCGGGGGCCCCGCGGCGCCCGAGGGCCCTCGGCAGGTGCCTCCCCCGGGCGGACTCCTGTCCCGGGCCGGCAAGCCGCGCGCATGCCTCTCGCCGTGTGGCAGCGGCATGGGGCCCCCCGGTGGCTCGGCGGCCTGCTCGCGCCCGCGCCCGGGAGGAGGCGCGAAAAAAGGAGTGTCCCCTCCCGCGCGCGAGGGCCGGGAACGCCCCCGCCGGAGAGGAGGCGCCGGCAAAAAACCCGGCCGAAGCCCAAAAGGAGATGCATCACCGGCAGGATTTGAACCTACGCGGGCAGAGCCCATCCGATTTCTAATCGGACTCCTTAACCACTCGGACACGGTGATGGTGTTCTGGACGCCGGCCTGGCCGGCGCCCTCATGTAACCTTGAAACACCCCGGTTCTGGTGTGTGATTCTGGGGGACCGGTGAGGGCCTTCCCTGAACCACCCAGAGTGTTCCGTCCCGAGAGGGTCACCACTCGGACGTGGACACAACAACAAAAGAAAGGAAAGCTGGTGATCTGCGTCTTTATAGAGAGTACATCAGGGACTGAGTCACACCGCTCCAGGGGAGCGACGTACAGAGGCAGGGAAACGGGTAGTCACGGCCTCCGCAAAGAGAATGACTATCCTTCAAGGTGCTGAGCCCTTGGAGGGGAGGCGCGAGAAGGGGGCCCTTATATAGGGGTGCCCGGAAAAGAGGAAATACATGGGAAAGAAGGGGAAAACGAGAGAGAATGGGTTGCATCGTTGACGGGCGACGCTAACACCCACCTACGGGGAAAGGGGGAAAGAAAAATGGATCTCCGGCCATTTGATCACGTGGAGGGCGTGACCAAATTTTGGCGGGGAGGCGACAGCAGGGGAAAACAAAGCAGGGCGAGGTGAGGCAGGTGCGGAGGAGG